CACACACATACACGCAGTTCTCTCCTACCACATGTATCCCAGGGATTGATCTCAGGTCAACAGGTTGGACCACAAGTACCTTTGCCTACTGAACCATTTTGCCAGCCCTTCTGCAACTATTTTGGTTTAATAATGTGACATATGTTAACATGATGCCTATACAGAGAGAGAGAGAGAGAGAGAGAGAATGAGAGAGAGAGAGGTGGACAGTATGAGTTCATGTGGTTTTTTATGTTACATGCATCTCTCAGGCTGGGGATGTAGCTAAGGAAATAAGAGAAACCTCTGGCAATACGTCCCTGTGGGAGAGGGATGCTCAGCCTCAAGACTACTGATGTCTTAGAGAGGCAACTGTCTATTGTGGGGCAGTGCTACCCATCCTAGAATGTTGAGCAGTAACCTGGGTTCTGCCCAGTAAATACCAGTAGCATGCCTGAACCCCAGCTGTAACAAACAGGTGTCTGCAAGTGTGGTCAAAAGACTCCTGGGGACATGGAGCATGCCCAGTCTGCTCTAGGGGAAATCTGGATAAAATGTGACTATTTGACTTTGTATTTATTTTTATAATAATGATGTTTTCAATACAAATGTAAACCCAATGCAGGTAATTTTCTACTTAACTAAGTGTTTGAAGGTTCTGAAAACTGGGAATATAAGAAGCACCTAGTTAGGGCAACTCTTCCCACTCCAACATGCAGATCTTCCTCAAATCTGATCTCCATCCATTAGCTCAGTTATCTGCTTTCTTACCTGGAGAAGAAATATTTCTTACATATTTCTTCACCAGAGAAGAAATTAGAAATGCAAATTATATTAGCGAAGGTGTACAGCTCAATACTGAAGTGTTTGCCTAGTGTCTTGGTTAGTTTTTTAATTATTTATTGTATTTTTTATTTATGTGTATTGTGTATGTCTGTATGTGTGTATTGTGCATGCTACACAGCTGCAGGTACCCAAAGAGTCCAGAAGGGGGGGTCAGATCTTCTGGAAATGGACTTACACATAGTTGGGACCTGTGTAATATGGGTTCTGGAAACCAAATTCTGATCCTCAGAAAAGCAGCACACATTCTTAACTGCTGAGATCTCTCCAGCCCCCCATCAACTTGGTAAAACCTAGAGTCACTTGGGAAGAGAGAATCTTGATTTGAAGAATTTCCACCAAGACTGGCCTGTGGCCATGTCTGTGAACGTTTGTCCTGATTAATGACTGATATGGGAGACCCAGCCCACTGTGAGCAGCATTATCGCTAGGCAGGTGGGCCTGTGCTGTATAAGAAAGCTAGCTTAGCATGGGGTAGGGAGACAGCCAGTAAGCCAACAACTGGTTTCTACTTCAGTTCCTGCTTGATTTTCTGTCCTGACTTCCCTCAGTGATAGATTGTGACCTGGAAGTGTAACCCAAAAAAACCCTTCCCTCCCCTAGTTGCTTTTGATCAGAGTGTTTTATCACAGCAATAAAATGAAATTAGAGCACTTAGCATGCCCAAGGTCCTGTGTTACATCCCCAGCACCACAAGAAAAAGGAAAAAAGAAATGGAAACTCTTAGGCCTCACCCCAAACTCATTACATAGGAAAATCTGGACGTGGGAGCCCCAATCTGTGGGTCTGGGGGGCTGGGATATGGTGTGCATGCATGTGTGTGCACATATGTCTGCAGACATGCACCTATGTGCACATGGAGGCCAGAAGATGACATTCCTTTATTGATCTTCACCTTATTTTTGAGACACGGTCTGTCACTGGCTGGTCTGCAGCTCAGCGAGTAATCCCATATCCCCACCACCCCAACTCCTCACCCCCACCATCTCTCTTTCTCCACCCTCAGGGCTCCAATTACAGGCACACAACTCTCACCTGGTTTTCACGTGGGTGCTGGGGGTCCAAACTCAGGTCCTCATGTTTGCACAGCAAACACTTTACCCACCAAGCCATTTCCCCAGTCCCCCAATCTGTGTTTTAACACCTTGCAGGCAATGGTAATATAAACTCATGTTTGAAAAGTACTGATGAGATCAAAGGGAATGAGAGGGCTTTGTGAAAACTTTGCCTAGTCCCCTAATGGTCTCAGAGGTTGTGCCCTTAGCTTAAACCACCAGGCTCTTGGGGAGAACACTAACTGTAAGAAACATTTAATTCACCTTTGAAACTCAAGACTGCCGTTGACTTGTCCCATGTATCCCTTGCCTCCAGAGACTCTGCCCAGGCAAGAGTTCACACTCAAAGACTAAACATTGTCCTCAAGGTTTGTTTTTACTAAATTAGTGACCATGACTGTGACATAACTCATTGCCTCTCATCTCCCCAAAGGGCTGAAGATGTCCTTTAATCACTTAGAACATGATAAAGGAAATCCTCTCAGATCATGGTTCCCAGTCATGACCCTTACTGGCAAGGCCAGTGGTATTTTGTGAGGAATTCCTTCAGACTCAGGAGGATGTAATTATAAGCATGCAGGACACTCACTACAAACAGATTTTAAGGTTCACATTTGAGTATGGAGCAACCACCTTGTTGAACCCTTGACTGCAAGACGTGGGTGGTTGGAGACTTTTTAAAGAAACTAGAGAAATCCTATTTGTCTCCAAATCATCACTTTCATTTGGATAATTCTGACATAAATATCTTTAGACATCACAGTCAATCCAGGCCCAGTCCTGGGATCAACAGAGAGAATTAGAAGCAAGAAAATGCTTCCGTGGTACCTGATCCGGTGAAAGCAGGAAGAAGTTGTTCTTGAAATACTGGAAATGGGTCAGAAAGACCTCGGCACTCATGGCATCGATGTGTGAGCACTGCACGCCTTTCACTAGCTGTCCCGCACTAGAGAACAAAACAGGTCCCACGAAAAGGGGGGTAAGGGAGAAGAGGGAGGCAAACGAAGGCAAGTTGTCTGACATGGCTGCACACTAAATTATGACTTTAATATACACTGTCCCCACAGGCCGATGATCTGAGTGTTTAGTCCTCCAACGATGGTGCTATTTTAGGAGGTTCTAGAAGTAGGAAGTAGGGCAGAGCTGGAGGAAGTAGGTCACTAGGGGCAAGTCCTTGGGGGTATGGCCACTTCCTGTCTTGCCGTCTGCTTCTTGGCCCATGATGATATGTCAGAGCAGACTGAATCCTTTGAAACTGAGCCAGAACAACGTTTTCCTCCCTTAAGTTGCTTTTATAAAATTTGTATTACATTTACTTGTTGTGTTTGTGTGCACGCATGTGGGGGTCAGAGTACAGCTTTCAGGACCTGGTTCTCTCCTACCGTGTGAGCTCTAGGGACTCAGATCATTAAGCTCAGCACAAGTGTCTTAAGCCACCAAGTCATCTCTCAGCCTTATGTTGTTTTTTGGTATTTTCTCATAGCTATACAAATGTAACTAATATACTACCTACTTGCCCTGCTAGGAAATCAGGCTTTTCTGGCAGAAAGCCTCAAGGGGCTCTTTAGCCCAGACTGAGGCACACTGTCCTACCTCAAGAGCTCCTCGGGTCTTCCAGTGGTCTTTGTCAGAAGTTCATACAGGAATAAGGCCTAGGGTAAGAGACAGACTGACAGTCCAGCACACTGAGGCCTGTGGGGAAAGCACACTGTGATCCCATTTTACAGATGGGAAACAGAGTTGGACCCAAGATGTTACTAACCCAAGGCCCTCCAATCACTAAGTAGCTTAGCCAGAATTTGAATTGGTGCCAGGACAATCCCAGAGTCCAAGCTGATATATTCCAGAAGATTCTCTGTGCTTGCAAGAGTAAGAAGCAGAGTCTTAGGGCGACAGGCCTGGAGTTTTACTGCCTCTGCTTTGCACAGCTGCTGCCCCGTGGAGCACTCTCTGTGGCCTTTCTTCGTGTGCCCACCTGCTAGTCCTGAACCCAAGCAATGATGACAAGACCAGCATGGGCCAGAAAGCAGCATCAATAAAGGAGCTAGAGCAGGAAGGCCCTCCCCTCCAACCCTCCCAGGTGAACACTCAAGGAGGCAGCAGGGGAGGCAGGGGACTCATTTGTCTTAAGGAACAAAATTTTGCAGAACACCTAACTTGCAGAAGCTATCAAGTACGACATTCATCTATTTTATAGACTCTAAAACTTTGAACATAATTCCCCAAACAGTAAATTATGATCTAGTGTTAGAGGTGGCTTCTGGGATGTGACAGCTGAGGGATCAAAGTCTCATAAAGGCCTAGGCAGGAAGAACGAATGGACAGAAGTTCTGGGTGCTCTGTGTGTGGCTGCTGAGATTTTCAAGGGTAGCAGGTTCAGGGACTCTTCCACAGACTTCCCAATCCAAGGAAATGACAGCTCCATCAATCCAGTTGCTGAGACAAAAACACCTTGAAGTCATATATGAATGTGTTTCTCAAAATAAAAGGAATATTCCAGTTGCTGGACTTGGCAGTGGTTTGTCACATAGCAATAGATGGCTGTACTATCATCCAATTTTGTGAAAGACCCCAAGCAAGACCCCCTCAACAGAAAGACTCTTGACTGCTTTGTGCATGTCTGCATTCCCAGTGTCCTGAATCATACCAGGCAAATGTAAGTAGCTGCTCCATAAACACCGCAGAAGCCTGAGGAGATGGCTAGGTGGGTACAGTGATTGTTATGCAAGCGTGAAGAGCATAAAGCGTAAAAGCTGGGTGCAGCAACACTTCTGTACCTCCAATACTCCTAAAGGGAGGTGGGAGGTGGAGATAGGAGGATCCCTGGAAACTCGCAGGCCAGCTAGACAGGAGTATGTGGCTGTGAACAACAAAGGGATCCCATCTCAAACAATACTAGAGGACCAGTACTCTAGGTTGAACTCTTATCTACACATACACAGCAAGGTACATTATACGCGCAAGCGCACACACACACACACATGCGCAAGCGCACACACACACACATCATACACATTCATCATACACACAAAAATAAAAATAAACATTTCAGAAGTGCTAGGCTGGGGAGACGGTTCAGTCAGTAAAGTGTTTCTCATGCAAGCGTGAGAACCTGGGTTCAACCCCCAGAACACACATAAAGAAGCAAGGTGTGCTGGTGCATACTTGCCATCTCAGTGCTGGGGAGGTGGAGACAGGTGGATCCCTGGGGCTCACTAACCAGCCAGCCTAGCTGAATCAACGAGCTCTAGGCAAGAACTCAGAGGCTGTGTCTCAAAAAACAAGGTGGAGACTGACTGAGGAAAACACCTGAGGTTGACCTCTGGCCTCCTCCACACACAAGTGCACTGATGTATACCACATACACACAGACATGCCACACCGCACACACACACACACACACACACATTTCAGAAGTGAATAAAATGAAGGTGACTAACTCAACAGGAGGTTAGGGAAAGTTCTGCATCCAGGCCTCGGTCTCAACAGTAGCATCCTCTCCAGGCAGCCGGGATGCTGGCTGAATTCAACAACAGCTATAATGATGGGTCACATTTTCAGTGCACTGCTCCTGGCTGGGTGTCATGAACTGATCGTCAACAAGATCCTCATTTTGCTCATGTGACAACTGAGGCCTTGTAAGAGGTCACTTCTCTGTAGCTAATAGATAAATGGCATCAGGAATTCATCCTCAGGCCTTGCCTTACTTCTTACCACTATGCTACTCTGACTCCTGGGTTTAATCACATACAAAAAAAGTGCCTTTATCAAACAGACCCTGAACTGCCCCCACAAAGACACATAGTCAGAAATACGTGCTCAGGGATGGCGACGTAACTCAATGGTACGGCACTTGCTCTACCTGTTATGTGGGAGGTCCTGGCTTCTATTTCTGGCACCAAAGAAACGAACATGGGATTGGTCTGTGAGCACTAAGGTCATACCTGGCTCCTTCGAAGCTCCTTTTCCTTGAGGACTGTAACATTGAATCCTGATTCTCTTTGTAAATCGAAGAGAGACACTTCCTTAAAGAAAACCGTTGGTATCTCCACAACGCCCGAAACAGTATCTTCTGCCTCCATCAGCTGCCAAAATTGAGAAGAAAGGCAGTCACAGCCTTTTAAGGAGGATGAAGATTTGCATGATAACCACATGCTGCTTCGTGGGCAATAAAATCCAACCAATCTGCTTAGAAACCCTATGAAGTAGGGACTACTGTTATCCCCGATGTACAAATGAGAAAATCAGGACTTAAAAAGTGATGAGTTGAAAGTTGATAAATGCCATTCAAACCCAAGTCTGTGTTGTTTCAAAACACACTGTTATGGATTGAATATGATATCCTCCCCCACAAAGCTTGTGTTTTGAATGCTTGTTCCCCAACTGGTGGCACTACTCTGGGGGCTGGGGGGAGTTGTTGAAACTTTAAGTGAGGTCTAGCTGGAGGAAGTAGGTCAGTAGGGGCAGATCTTTGGCCGCTTCCTGTCTTGCTCTCTTGATTCTTGGTCAGCCATGAAGTGAACCTCTGTCTTCCACCCCACACTTCCACTGCCATGAAGTTCTGCCCCTGCACATGAGGCCAAGAAATCATGGACTGAAACCTATGAAATCATGAGCCAAAACAAATCCTTCCCTCCCTTAGGTTGTTTATCAGGTATTTAGGTCAAAGTCACAAAAAGAGTAACACCCACATACCCTCTATTTTAACCATATATACTACCGCTATCTACAGAGCACTGGTGTTTGTGGTGTTTTTTCAAGACTGAACTCCTAGGCCAGGAACACAAAAGGCCACAAATGGCCAAAACACAGAAAATAAGAGTCTGCAGAGTGTGGGTCCTTGAACAGGTTCTTATATTGAGGTCCACCTACCCAGAGCTTAGGAAGCACTGTAGAAGAGGGGGTAGAAAGATTGTAAGAGCCAAGGAGGAGGTGCATGACCATATGGAAATAGTCCTACAGGCACCAGAGACCCTTTTCATACAAACCTACAGCAATGGTGTCAGCATACACAAGACCCATGCAAACTTGGGCAGACAAAAACCAGTACAGACCTGTGGAAATGAACAGGAGCCCCCAATTGAAGAATTATTGGTCGCTGATTACTGCTGGGTGAGAAAGAGCAGATCTTCTTGAAGAGAGAGACTCTAGATAGGCTAACTAAACCCCAGTGGATGAAGTTGAACTAAGGGACATCTCAGGACACTAACTTTACATAATAGGCCTTAATACAAATGACAGAATGTATGAACTCCAGTCAGGGGGGCTATGGGAAAGAGGGAAAGGGGTGTAAAGATGATTTTATGTATGATATACACAAAAATTCAATAAAAAATTATATTAAAAAATCAAACTCCTTGGGTTTGGTTTTTTAACAGATTTTGTAATTGGTCTTAGCAGGCCTAGCAAACAAAATGCACAAAAGATTCACACAATTGGGTCCAAAACACTCTGAGAACCTCAGAATTCATTTTTAGACTGAAAACAAATTTTTTGAGATGTTCTTAGAGCAAGCTGTTGTGGTGCATGCCTGTAATCCCAACTCTTTGAAAACTAAGGCATAATAATAGATAATTCATAGTGAGTTTGAGGCCATCCTGGGCTACACAGCAAGGTCCTGTCTTAAAAAAATAAAATAAACCAGGTGTGGTAGCACATGCCTTTAATCCCAACACTCAGGAGGCAGAAGCAGGCAAATGTGAATCTCCCAGCCTGGTCTACATAGTGAGTTCTAGGCTAGTCAGGGATGCATAGTAAGACCCTGTCTCAAAATATAAAATAAAATGAACTGTAATTAGATCAAGAAGCCTGGTTTGAGAGAAGTCTTCTATATTAGACTTGCTAGGAAAACAACAGGGTTTAAGAAAAATACTAACATGGTCCAAAGGACTCTGTCTGGGAAGGAAAGAGGTTACACCACCAGGAGCCAGCATTTTCTGGATTCAGAACACTCCCCACACCAACAGATACCCCAACCCCAAGCCCATTCACAGATCATCCACAGACTTCCCAAATACACCCTCTGTGAGCCACAAGGCTAAGGACCAGACGTCCACCTCTCACCTTGCTGAGGACACCTTGCTGTTGGACAGGTGATAAATCAGACATATGCTGAGAGGTGGTACTTCTCAGGACCTGCCAGAGGTCCCTGCGGTCCATGCTGTAGAAGGCCTGGGTGCTGATCCCTGGTAGCAGCACACCCATCTGGCTGACATTGTAGAAGGACAGCACCTGGCAGAGAATCAGCCATGAGGGTCAGGCTCTCCCAGATATTTACTGAGCCCACTTGACGCCAGGTACTGGGATGGGTGACAGCTGAGGGGCCAGATGGAGATTAAGACAGATGCTATACTCACCTTCCTTCTATCAGAAAAGAGAGTTAAATATCAAAACACAAGGCCAAGGTAAGCTCTCTGCTGGGGGGGGGGACTTCACAAGCCATAGTGAATGTAACATATGGTGACCCTTGAGCCATCAATAGGGCTTTTGTTTTCATTATTTGACACTAGGAAAGAGACAAACCACCTTGTCCAGAACCAAGAGGGAATACAACAATCGCCCTCTGCTTCCTGAAGTTATTTGCACAGAAAATGTCATTATGGGCTCACAGAACCTCAATCACACTCCAAAAGCAGTCAAGGTCTTCACCATGGGAAATGAAGTCACCATGAGATGAGGGACACGATGAATGGGCCAGCCTTGGTCTTGAATATAAAAATGAGAATCGGTGACATGATGGAGATGCCCTGGGAGTTCCTAAGCAGACTCTGAAGCCAGAGACTCTGGGCTCTGCCCCCTGACTATTCCTTCCACTGTGACTTTGGTGATTCATTCCCTTACATTATCTGTGCCTCATGCAAATAACCTCAGAAATGAAGACTGTTAACTCCACTGAGTTCATTGGGTTGATAGGAAGATTAAACGATTAGCACACTTAGAACAGAACCCGGTATACGATAAGCACTTCATAAATGTTTATTGTCAGTGCCATACTGGAATTGGTTCCAGTCCAATTGTCATAAACCAGTTGATATCCTAGAAGGTGGTTGTGAGTGTGAATGGAAAGAGACAGATGTCAGAGTGCTTAGGACTCAAGTCTCTGGAGTCTAGAGCCCTTCGAACTGGATGCAACACAGAGGCTGACTCCCCCCATTGAAAGTCCAGACACAGCAACTAAAGCATGGACTAAGGTTCCTGCTCCTCCAAATGGGACCTTCTTCCCTCACAGCCTCCTCTCTGCAGCCCAAAACTGAGATAAAGCATCACCCCTGATACCAAGGGCAGGTAATTTTGATTGTCAACTTGATTGGATACAGAGACACCTAAGAGTCTAATAGAGCACATTTCTAGGTGTGCCTTTTAGAATGTTTTCAGGGAACATTAACTAAGGCTAGAAGACCTGCCCTGATTGTGAGCAGCACCAATAGGCTAGGGGCCCTGTTAGAATATAAGGGGAAGAAACAGAAGATACTGTCTGTCTGTCTGTCTGTCTGTCTGTCTCTCTCTCTCTCTCTCTCTCTCTCAATCCCCGTCTCCATCCCTGTCTCCCTCTGTCCCTGCTCTCTCTCTGTGTGTCTGTGTCTCTGTCTCTGCTTTCTCTCTGTCTCTCTCTGTCTATCTTGCTCTTTCCATGCTTCATGGCCACCATGAAGTGAACAGGCCCCTTTCCACACAGTCCTGCCACCATGATGTTTTGTGTCACCTCAGATTCAAAGCAACAGAGCCCGTGACCACAGACTGAAATCCCTGGGAGCATGAGCCTGAATAAACCTTTCCTCCTTTAACCTGGCTATCTCAGGTGGCTACAACAGCCATGAACAGTCTAACACGCAGGTTAAGAGATGTATCAGCAGCTTCAAAAACAAAGAAAATCCTGGAGTTGGTCCAAGCTGATCAACAGCTCAAAAACAGCTCACTCACAGAGCTCACAGTCTGTTATGTCCCTGATGTTTAATCATCTTTCTGTGCACTGACTCGAATAATCTGTGCAGTGGTGCTGTGGGGGAGGAGCTATTGCTATCTGCAATTTACAAATAGGGAAACTGGAGCGAAGTGAAGTGAAGCAATTGCCTGGTGCCACACAGCTAGTAACTGACAGAGCGAAGGTTCAATCCCAAGTAACCCTCCCCAGCACTTTCTTCTCATTAACTGATTGCTTCTGCTATGTGCGCACATAGCTGACTGTTATGGACAGAATGTCTGTGTTCTCCTAAAGCTCATATGCTGAAGTCATAAGCCCTTGTGTGTATTGGGTGGTGGTGAGGTCATGAGATAGAGTTGGATGGGGCCCTGCACTAATAGGATTAGTACCGTTATCAGAAGGGACACTGGGGCTAGGGAGATAGCTCAGTAGGTACAGGGCCTGCTAATGCAAGCATGAGAGACCTAAGTTCTGATCTCCAGCATCACAAAAAGCCAGGCATGGTAGTGCATTCCTGTAACTCCAGAATTGGGCAGGGCAGAGACGGGTGACCTTGGGACTCAGGGGCCAGCCAGTCTAGCCAAAATGGCAAGTTCTAGGTCTGCTGAAAGACCCTGCTTCAAAGAATGAGGTGGAGAAGCAATGGAAGAAGACATCCCAACATCAGCCTCTGGCTTCCACACACACCTTCATGAGTAAGCATACATGGGGGTGGGGGGCTTGCTCTCATGGAGTTCACATAGGCACATAGCAAGACAGCATTTGTCTGCTGTCTTGAAGCCTCAGAATGAAGCTGCATCACCAGCTTGATCTTGGGTTTCTCAGTCCCCAGAACTGTGAGAATGAAATTTCTGTTGTTTAAGTCACTCAGTCTGTGTTATTTTGCTACAGCAACCTGAGCTAACAATTACAGTGGCCCTTGGATCTTTGGGCACTCAGGAAAGGCTAAAAGTTCCAGCTGACCTTTTCATGGGCCAAGTATTTGGCAGACAAGATGATGATCTGGCTCCTGGCCCAGCCTGAAACCTGGTTGAGGGTAGAGATGGCACCGTGCACAGCCTCAGAAGAGAGGGATTCCAGTTGCGTGCAGGTCAGACCCACAACTGCATCCGACAGAGAGCCAAGTGTCTCATTGAGGGTCTGATTCTCTGTGGCAATGTCCAGAAGGTCAGCTTTGAGCTAGAAAGAGAACAGAGTGGCGTGAGTATCAACAGAAAGCAAGGCAGTGGGCTTCTGACCACATCCTGAGTGTAAGGACTCCACACCACCCTCCCCAGACCTGGCCCATCAAAGCCCCTGGCCCAGGGACAGGAGAGAAATGTACTCTTGCTCATAGCCAGACAGTGACTTACTCACTGAAAATACCTCCTGCAGCCCTGGCTTTCAAGTGCTGGAAATTCACGTTGGGCTTCATTTAAATATTAATGTATTATTAAATCAACCTTAAAGCATGGCAGAATTTCATTCCCTTCTAACTCTACCACATTCTTGTAGCTTCTATTTTCTTGTTGTGATCGTGAACTCTATATCCATATATTTGCCTGCTTTTCTTTTGTGAAATATTCAAGGGCTTTCTCGTGATAATATATAATCAGTATAAAAATAATCCTCAACAGTACAAGAAAGCCAAAGTGAAAATCCAAACTCATGAAAGTAACTATGAAAATGAGTATGGGGTTCAGTTGTGGAACACTTGCCAAAGGAAGGAAGGAAGAGGGAGGGAGGGAGAGAGGGAGAGAGGGAGGGAGGGAATGAGGGAGGGAGAGAGGAAGGAAGGAAGGAAGGAAGGAAGGAAGGAAGGAAGGCAGGCTATGATCAAGGAATTCCTAGAGGTAACAAATAATTCTATTTTCTATCCATCTAATGTGTTCAAACATTTCTTTACTTTTTTTTCTATATCTCGTGCTTACTATCATTCCAAAGACAAATTTTCCAATTTATAATCTAACCTCTGATCCTGCTCCTTTCAACCCATAATGAAGGTGAAAAATATTCTACACAACACACCTACATTTATTTCTTAGTGTATGTTTCCCTAGTTATAGTCAAGAGTTTCCCTTTTGATTCTGGTAGAGAAGGGAATAAACTCGCCAACTATAGCAACCTCTGTACATAAAAAATAATGAGGAGCTGACGAGATTTCTTAGTGGGTAGAGGTGTTTGCCATCAACTCTGACAATCTCAGTTGGCTCTCTAGAACCCACAGGGTAGATGGAGAAAACTAACTACCATAAGCTGTCCTCTGACCTCCACAGGCATGCTATGATGTATACAGGCACCCACAAAAAATAAAAATGAAAGGAGGAGCAGAAGCAGGGAGTAAGAAAGGATGGGAGGGCAAGGAGAAAGGAGAGACGGAGGGGAGGGGAGGAGAGGGGAGGGAGGGGAGGGGAGGGGAGGAGAGGAGAGGGAGGAGAGGAAAAATGAACGTGACCTATTTTAACCCTTGAATTTGTATAAACAATATATTCATTTTAGGCACATGCGCATAACCATTATATGCAATCTTGAAATTGCCACTGGGAGGCAGCAGAGCGAAGCAAACGAAACTATCGCCGCCTCGTGGTGGGAGTTCCCTTCCTAGAGCTTTCCCAGGAAGGAAGTGGGGACTAGAAAGTTCGCAAACCAAGGTCGGTGGCTGGAAGCAGCAGCATCACATGACAGCTTGCTAGAAAGAAACAATTCCAGCCACACCCAGACCTATAAAATTAGAATGGCGGTGTGTATTTTATGGAACCCACAGAGTGCCTGGAATGTACCCTCAAGTCTGAGAACTACTGAGCTCGGTGACCCTAAGGTGTCCCCATGTCTAATTATATTTGACTCTCTTCTTGGCTGGGTACCTCTATGGTCACAGAATGCATTTGTTTTCTTACTTTTGCTTGAATTTACTTAAGAACTTTTTCCTTGAACGCAAAAATAGGCACTAAACCAGATAGATAACCATGAGGGGGCGCCAAGTGACACGAAAGGGCAAATGTGATGGAGGATTTTGGAATTATGTGTGAAAAACCGCTGTGGAATCGTCGATGGCTTTATCGAGATTCTCTTTACTATTTCAAAATTTAAAAACTAAAAAGAGAACAAAAAAAAAGTATAAGAGAAGAAGGACAGCTCTGAGATTTGAAAAGAAGGCCAGATGTCATGGCGTGTGTTTGAAATCCCAGTACACACGTGGCTGAGACCCGAGGGTTGCAATATGGAGCCCAGCAAGGGGTACAGAGCAAGACCTGACTCAAGAAATAAAATAGGGGGCTGAAGAGAGGACTCAGCTGTTAAGAGCACTGGCTGCTCCTGCAGAGAACAGGAGTGTTATTCCCAGCACGCACATGGCAGCTAACAACACCAGTCTGAAACTCTAGCTCCAGGGAATCGGAGGCCCTCTTCTGACCTCCACAGGCATTGCATGACATGGGTGCACCCACCTACATGCAGGCATTACACTCATACACAAAAATAATAAATAAATAAATAAATAAATAGAATAGAATAGGGAAAATGGGATGGAAGAAGGAGCTGGAAACCATCTGCAATTGCTAATTTGACCAGAAACAAGTCTAGGAGCTCAATAAACAACCACCCATTCAGGGCTCTGCATCCTGCCTGAGCCACTGGAATCATCCGAGGACTTCGGTTTACGTTTATTTGTAGGGTGGAGGTCCATCACTCAGGTTACCCACATGTGCTATGACATAGTACTTATGGAGATCGGAGGACAACTTGCAGGAGTTGGTTGTCTCCTACCACCATGTGGGTTCTGGGAATCAAACTCAGATCCTCAGACTTGGTGGCAAGTGCTCTACACACTGAGCCACCTTGCTTGCTGTCGGTCAGCTAAGGGCTTTCCCCCCCACTTCCAGTTCTGGGGATTGAACCTTAGAGAGCCACCCACAACTGCTCTACCACAGAGCTACATCCCCAACTCCTTTTTATACTTTTTTTTATTTTGAGAGAGTGTCTTAAGTCACCCAGGCTGGCCTTGAACTTGGGATTCTCCTGCCTCAGCCTTCCCAGTAGCTAGGATAAGAGACCAGTGCCACATTCCTGGTTCCTGAGAGCTTTAGACCCATACCAGGCCCAGGCCACTCCCCTAGACCAACAACTTCCATCTCAGAGAGCCTAGCAGGACCATTGCCCATGCACAACCCAGTCTGGAATTATGCTTGTAAATTCTTCCAGCCCCTGGGTAGCAACTCGGTGCTTATAGCAAGTGACGTACTGCTGGCCCCACTCCAGACCTCCTGAATGGATCTGCAGTTAAGATCCCCAGATTGTGCTTGCTTCGGCAGCACAGATGCTAAGATCCCTGGGGTGACTCATGCTCAGTTGACTATGGCTGCTCTGACCAAGTTTCAGTCTTTCCAGTTTTTTTTCTATGCTGTTTTTTGTAATTTTTTCCTATGCTCCCCTCCCCCAGGATTGGAGATGCCATCTGCTGGGGTTGGACTGATTAATGACAAGTGTTTGCTCTCAAAGGCCAGGCAAAGCTGTTCCCATTTCTCTGACTGGTGAAACTGAGGCCAAGGCCTCCGGGCCTTGCATTTCATGTGCACCTTCTGAACAGCAGCGTGGAAGCCCTGCAGGTGGCTGCACTTGATCATCTGATGAAGAAGGACTTGGGCCAGGGCAGCGTCCAGCAGCTCCAGGTCATCATAAAAACAAACCAGCAGTCCCAACCTGTGTGAGAAGATGAGGGAGGCTGGTAGGGGGCTCAAAGCTGAGAGCCACCAGTGTACCTCCCCTGAACCCAAACCACAGGAGTCGAAATCACAGTGGCTGCCACTTACCTGCAGTTGTCCTGTGCCCTCAACTGGGTCATTGCCTCACAACAACCCCACAAGGTTGGTGCCCCAGGTATGGTTTGAATGTGAATTGTCACCCCCAGGCTCCTGGGTTTGAACCCCTGGTCCCCAGGTGGTGGCTATGTTTTGGGAAGTTGCAGAACCTTTAGGAAGAGGGACATGGCTGGAGAACATGGGCCCCTGAGAGATGACCTTTGAGGTTTCTAGCCTAGTCCTGTTCTCAGCTTCCTGGTGGGTCATGATATAAGGAGTTGTAGCTTCATGATCCCACTGCCATGCTTTCCCCTCCCCAGTGGGCTCTACCCTCTGAAATTATGAGCCAAAATAAACCTTTAAGTTGCTTCTGTGAGGTATTTCATCATAGAAACTAGAAAAATAACTGATACAGTCCCATTTCATAGAAGGGCAAGCAAGACTCAGAGATCAAGGAACTTGCCCAAAGCAAATAATGAAGCTGGAACTATGGATCTAGATCCATCCAATTAAGCCATCTCCCTCCTGGAAAGGGAAACATAAGGAAAAGATGGTACCAAAAAACTCCTTTCCACATGAGAAGGTAGGATTGTTCCACCCTCAATGAGAGTTCTCTTTCCAAGATGACTTACTACCCACCTACCCAGCTGATGCAAAGATTTTAGGGGGAAAAAAAAAAAACAGGATAAAGTGGGTATGGAAAGATTCAAACTCTGGCTAGATTCATCCAACTAGAGTTTGAGGTGCAGTTCTGTGAGACATTTGGCCTCCAGTACGTTGCTTGACTCCTCTGAAAGACTGATGCATACAGTAGTATTGTGCACACTCCATGCTGCCGCACAGGCTGGCCCTGACTCTGTACCTTCAGTAACTGGAAGGTTTGCTCTCTTCAGCATAGCACATCATACTAGATATGATGGATGGAGGAGTAAGGAAGTCATGAAGGTAAATAAGATGAGGCAGACCCAGAGCTGCACATGCATACTTCCTGGGGGATACCAAACACTCATTCACTGGTGAATGTTCTTAGAGATACTGTGAAGGCTACCCAACTCCACATCGCCAGACCAGCTGGTCAACCGTGAACAATCTGGCTCTACCCTCTCGGAATAATAATGACCTATTCAGACATGCGCACAGGTAAACAAAAGGCTAAAGCTATAGAAAGAGGAGGATGGCGATTACCAGGGACTGGAGGGTAGAGTGGGGTCAAAGAACATAAAGTTTCATTAGACGAAAGGAGTAAGTCCTGGAAACCATGGTGACTGTGGTGGGTGATAATGCATTGTGTCATAGAACACGACTTAAAGAGTAGATTGTAAGTGTTCTCACTACAAATATACAAACACAAATACTCAGAAGATAAGCATGGGAGTGGTGGGTATGTTAACTAGCTCAGTTCATCCATTCCACAATATATACATCATTATGGCCTGGATTCACTTTGTGTGTGTGTGTGTGTGTGTGTGTGTGTGTCCATTGTATGTGTGAATGGAGGGGTATATGCCATGGTACACATGTGAAGGTCGGCATACAACCTTGGAGGTCAGTCTCTCTTGTCAGTTACTACTGTGTACACTAGCTGGCCTGTGAGCTTCTTGGGATCCTCCTGTCTCCACCCTCCCCATCTCCCATAGGAGTGCTGGGATGATAGACACCCACATTCTGAGTCCAGCTTTTATGTGGGTGCTGGAGATTTGAACTCAGGTCTTCTAGAGCTTTCACCCACTGAGCCATCTCCCCAGCCTTGTGGTTTGGATCTTGGGTGTCCCTTAGGTTTACATGTTGGAGAACTGGTCCTCAGTGTAGCAGTGTTCAGAGGTGGGGCCTGTGGGAGGTGATTGGATCATGGAAGCTTGGATCACCTCAGTGAGTTAACCCATGGACAAATCCATACTTCACAGGTTATTGGAGGTGGTGGAAACTTTAGGAGGTGAGCCTTCCTCCTAGTTAGAGGAAGTAGGTCTCCACAAAGGGCACACTTTGTCCTGATCTCTCTCAATCCTTCTCCCTCTCTCTCTCTCTCTCTCTCTCTCCTTCCTCGTTACTATGAGATGAGTAGCTTTCTTTGCTCTATCATTTGCTCCCACCATGATGTACCACCTCCCCACAGGCCTAAAAGCTACAGGGCCAAGCAGTCATGGACTAAAATCTAAAAATCATGAGTCAAAATAAACCTTTGCTACTTTAAGTTAGTTTCCTCAGGTATTTCCTGTCACAGTAACAGGAAGTTGACTAACACAGAACATGCATATCAAAGCATCATGTTAAACACCATAAAGATACATACCTTTATTTGTTAAACAATTTTAGGAAATTAATACTACTTATTGAGCACATGCTATGTGTCTTTGAGAGGACCCTAATGAGGCAGGGAGATTTCTGTCTCCCGTTTTATAGATGGGAAAAGAAATGCACAGAGAGGTGATATGACATGACCAAGGTCACACGACTTGTAAGTAGCAGAGCCAGAATTAAAATCAAGAAGCCTGGCTCTGGGCCCCATGTCTTTAACTACCAGGTGTGTGTATGTGTGTGTGTGTGTGTGTGTGTGTGTGTGTGTGTGTGTAGCACAGTAAAAGGGGATCTATGCTAATGGGTGAAAGTGACTACAGATGGGGAAAAATGGGACATAGTACCATATGAACACAGGCTTTGGAAGGGACTTATCTGAATGATTTTAGGGTAATATATGGGTGTCAGAGGGAGCGGTGTGAGAGGAAAACCCTAAGAATGTGGAGAAAAGATGATGGTCACCACCTCCTCCCCTGCTTGACCTGTTCCCTCTGGAGTCAAGCACTTCCCGCTGGAAACGGCTATGGGGGATCATGACACCATGACTAAATTCTAGACCTGACCTCATCCAGAGACTCCCAATGACAGTCTGATAAGGAGTCCTCAAATGTGGGGGGCTCACCAGGTACCTCAGGTACCACAATCTAAATGGAAATGTCACATTCACCTTACAGCAGACGAATCCTGCATCTCGAAATGGTCCAGCTGCACACTCAGAGCTAGAAGCAGCACTTGAGAAGATGGTATTTAATGCCTGGGCCCTGGAGATGCTCAAGAATCTGCCCCCTTTTCCCTCCAGAACCTTTCAAAGGATGAAGAGCCTTGAGGAGCAAACCCCTCCCCTCAAATGCACAGAGAGGTATGGGGCTGTTCATGGGTAAGGGGGAGGAGCTTGGGTTTGTATCCACTCTGAGGAAGCTAGCCGTAAACCAGGCTGCATCTGGGGCAGGGGGCATGGGGGGAGTAATGTGCACATGTGCATGCAGGCGTGCATCCACATGTGTACATGTCTGTGTGGAGGCCAGAGGGTGACATCAAGTGTTATCCTTGATCACTCTCTACCTTATTTTTGAAGACAAAGTCTCTTATTAAACTTGGAGCTCATCAGTTCACCTAGCCTGGCTGGCCAGTGAGATCTCAGGATCCTCCTGACTCTGCCAAGCCCCACCCTCTCAAACACCCAGAAATGGGATTATAGACATACACTACCATAGCTCCATAGCTGACTTTTTACATGGATGATGGGGATCCTAACTCGGGTTCTTGTGCTTGTGAGCCAAGCACTTTGCCAACTGAGCCACCTCCCCAACCCTTAGGCTGCATCTTGGGAGCCAACCTGAGGGCCTAGGGCCACCCTTGCCTGTGGATGGTGGATGTGTTCTTCATGTCAAAGCTGGAGCTGCTGATCCTCTGTAGAAATGCCTGGGCCAGTTCAGGGGTGATGTCATACACTGTGTCCAACTGCTTAGTGGCATTGTCATAGCTGATAAATCGCCCAATCTAGTATACAAGAATGAGAAGATCAGTGAGGAGGGTGAAGTGGGCCAGGGGGTCTTTGCCCCATCCCAGATCTCTGGATATGCCACCTGGTTCTCAAATTACTTTGTAATTTCTTTTCTTTCTCATGATTATTTTTTAAATTTTCACTGCACATATTCATTGTACATGGTACTGTTACATAAGGCTGTTTCAACAACGACATGTTGCATGTTGAGGCTATTTTCCCCCACCCTCCCCTTTACCCTGCTCTTTCTCACCCCTCCCCCTCCCGTCAGTCCCCTTTGCTCCCTGAAACCATCTCCATGTCATGTACACATGTGGTTTTATGTATCTGTATAAAATCTTGGAACCACAAATGAGAGAGAACATTCAATATTTGTCTTTCTGAGATCGGCTTAATTAGTTTAATATGATTATCTCCGGGCACGTCTTGCAAATGCACGACTTTGCTCTTCTTTATGGCTGAAAAAGTTCCACTGGATATATATGACACATTTTCTTGATCTGTGTCTCTTTTGGGACACCAAGGGTGGCTCCATAACTAGGCTATTGTAAATAGTGCTGCAATAAGCATTTATGGGTAAGCATCTCTGGTATGTTGACTTGGAGTCTTTCAGGTAAATACCAAGAGTGGTACAGCTGGGTCGTATGGACCATCTACTGTTAGGTTTCTGAGGAGCCTTCATACTGATACCCACGATAGCTAGAGCACTTTTCATTCCCACCAGCATGTGCAAGAGTTCTCTTTTGTCCATATCTTTACCAGCAATTTCAGGTGCTGAAGATGAGAATTGCAGTTATGGACTATAATGCCCAGCAAGAAGCTATTCATCTTTAACATTCCAGCGGTCGAACTTCTTTAAAACTAATCTTTACCCATTTAGTCTTGGATTGGTTATATTGAGGTCAGATGATACAACCCACAAATGTTCTGCTTTAAGGGATCAAAATTGTTTTGAAATAGATGAACATGTTTACAGATGGCCCTGTGGTGAAGGATAGAGTATGAGTTCTCTTTACAAGATCTGAAGTTTGACGTCTATATTACATAGAGTTTGTTGAGTGTAGTTTTCAGACTCTGTGTTCTTGTTCCTTTTTGTTTACATGTCCAAGGATGTCACACTGACATCTTCTACTGTGATAGGGTCAGATTGGTATTTCCTCTTCTAACAGGTTTTGCATTCTGTGTTCTAATGTATGCATTTTAAAAGATGCTCATGGACTGGGGTGATGGCTCAGTGAATAAAGTGCAAGCATGAGGGCTGTAGTTTGGATTCCCGGAACCTACATAAAAAACTGGACTGGTGGGGCTGGAGAGATGGCTCAGCGGTTAAGAACACTGGCTGTTCTTGCAGAAGACCCGGGTTCGAATCCCAGCACCCACATGACAGCTAACAACTGTCTGTAACTCCAGTTCTAGGGGATCCAATGGCCTCTTCTGCCCTCCGCGGGCATTGCATGACATGGGTGCACTTACCTACATGCAGGTAATACATGAATACACATAAAATAAAAATTAATAAATAAATTTTTTAAATGGACTGGCATGATGGCTACCTCTAATCTCAGCACTTGAGAGGGAGAGACAGGAGATACCCATGGAAAGCTTGCTAGCTAGACTACCTGGAATCAAGAGACCCTGCCTCAATAAATGAAGCAGAGAGCAATCAAGGAAGGCACCTGACATCAACTTGGGGCCTACACACTTTCAAGCACATGTGTGCAAACATAATTGCACACACCTGTGCCACACATATGTAAGCATGCATACACACACTCAGGCATGGTGGGGGAGAGGAAGGAAGGAAGGAAGGAAGGAAGGAAGGAAGGAAGGAAGGACGGAAGGGAGGAAGGAAGGAAGGAAGGCAGGAAGGAAGGAAGGAAGGCAGGAAGGAAGGAAGGAAGGCAGGAAGGAAGGAAGGAAGGCAGGAAGGAAGGAAGGAAGGCAGGAAGGAAGGAAGGAAGGCAGGAAGGAAGGAAGGAAGGCAGGAAGGAAGGAAGGAAGGCAGGAAGGAAGGAAGGAAGGCAGGAAGGAAGGAAGGAAGGCAGGAAGGAAGGAAGGAAGGCAGGAAGGAAGGAAGGAAGGCAGGAAGGAAGGAAGGAAGGCAGGAAGGAAGGAAGGAAGGAAGGAAGGAAGGAAGGAAGGAAGGAAGGGGTGCTGATAAAGTCTTTCCCTTTAATATTATCTCTTTGGACATATAAAATTTCTTCTTAGTGTGGATGTCCTGTGGCCTCCCCTTCCTTCTCTACATTTTTAGGTCAAGAAAAGCAGCTCATAGATGCTTGAACTTAGAAATCCCCCCTAAGAGCTCAGAAATTACTTCCTGACATCAGTCAGCATTGAGAGATTAGGGGGCTTGGGTATGACAGGGTTAATTCAAGGACTGAGGATTGGAAAAATCAAAGATGTTTAAGTAATCCCAGTCTCCTAAGTAAAAGAGAAGAACCAGGGCCAGCAAGATGGTTCAGTGAGTAAAGGTATTCATCACTCAAGCTGTGAGCAGGACCTGAGTTTGATCCCTAGAACCCATGGGGGAAGAAGAGAACCAACTCCTGAAAGTTGTCCTCTGACCTTCACACATACACTGTGTCACATGCACACACACACACACATGCATATAGACATACAATAAGTTTTAAATAAAAAATAAGTATTTATTAATTATTTGATAATTCCATATTTTAGTATATTCACCCCAAGCCCTCCCCTTAACTCCTCCTAGATCCACTCCCACCTCCCTACTACCACAACTTTGTGTCATCTTTTTTTAAATTTAATAACTTGTCAACTCCAGTTTGTGCTATGTACTTCTGTGTGTAAGGCCATCCACTGGGGCTTAATCAACCTACTAAGAGCCACCTCCTTAAAAATATTTAAAAAATTTTATGTATGTGTATGCATGTGTGTGCACTACAAATGACATATGTTCAGGTGCCTGTGGGGACCAGAAGTGAGTGTTGGATCCTCTGGAGCTGGAGTTAAAGGTGGTTGTAAGCCACCTGGTATGGGTGCTGAGAACTAAACTCAGGTTCTTTAGAAAAGCAGCAAGCGCTCTTTACTGCTGAGCCATCTCCCCAGGCCTAAAATGCTTTTACAAAGAGAGAGCAATCAAGCCCTCCCTTGGGTTTTATAACAACCACACTTATTGGGTCAAGTGGTCATTAAAGAAGGCAGTCATCTAATGCACGTTCTCCTCTCACTGGCCAGGAGAAACACACGATGCATATGTTTATTTTTAAAAAGTGAAAACTGGAGGCCAGCTTCTTTAGAAAGGCCTCTGTGTTGTCACTTCTCCAGAGGTTGCATTTCAGAGTCCTGATGCCCAAGGGATCTTAATGTCATTGAGTCAACATAAGAAAGAGTGAGATAAACTGACTAGTGAGTTAAGTAACATGAGACACATAGATTTCTCCACTGTAAACTCCAGAGTTTAGATCCTATCATTGCTCATGCTGAAGGAGCTATTAATAGAAGTCACTATTAATAGAAACAGCCATTAATCCGTGTTGTGTTTGCTGAGTTCTTGCTTCCTGGCATGGGAAACTCAATAGCTATTGTCCTTGGCTTTTCTTGAGTACAAAAATACCGTCACATGATTCTAGGTTCGTAGCCAACGTTCCCTTCCTATCATGTTGGTTCACATCAAAGCTCTTCGTTGTCCACAGTTCTTTTTCTTCTTAGCTCTTCTGTGCTAGAATACAGTGCCACCACTGACCCCTTGAGGCCATTTTCCAAGAGCTTTGTTTAAAAGGTAGAGCTACATTGGGCTGAGGCAGGTGTATAGTCCCAGGATGCCTTGGCTGGCTGGCTGAACAAACATTGGAAGTTTAGAATCTGCCTTTCCTGAGGTATATCAGCAATGGGGATGTTAAAAATATACTTTTCTGGGGGCTGGAGAGACAGATCAGTGGTTAAGAGCACTGTCTGCTCTTCCAGAGGACCAAGGTTTGATTCTCAGCACCCACATGGCAGCTAACAACTGTCCATAACACCAGTTCCAGGGGGAATCAGATGCACTCTACTGGCCTCCATAGGCATTGCAAGACATGGGTGCACTTACATATACATTCAGGCAAAACACTCATACACATAAAACAAAAATAATAAATATTAATATATATACTTTTCCAACTTACTTCAATAGGACTAATTTTAATAATTTCTTCAAATGATAGGTGAACCATGTATCTGCCCAAAATCCATAATTTTTCTGCACTGACCCATGAAACACACTCATCTACAAAAGAAGGAGAAATAAATAAGTCAAAATAAAAGCATTTAAATGGGCTGGAGAGATGGTTCATCTGGTAAAGTGCTTTCCATATAAGCTTGGGTTCCATCCCCCTGAACCCACAATTTAAAAAAAAAAATTAAAAAGCAGGTATAATGACATACACTTGTGATCCCAGCACAGGAGAGGAAGAGATAGGGGGATTCTTGGGACTTGCTGGACAGTCAGTGTAGCCAAATCAAGAAGTTCCAGGTTCAGTATGAGAACCTGTCTCAAAAAAGTAAGGTGGATGGGCTAAAGAGATGGCTAGCAGCTGAGAGCTTGCTACTTTTGCAGAAGACCTGAGTTCAGTTCCATATCAGGCAGCTCACAATCTTGGGTAACTCCAGCTCCAGGGGATCCAACACCCTTTTCTGGCCTCCAAGAACATACACGTGCACACAAACACAGATCCACATAAATTAAAACAACATAAATCTTTTAAAATAAAGATGAAGAGTGATTAAGGAAGATACCCAGCACCCACCTCCAGCTTCAACAATCACACATCTGCACATGGACCTACACACATACACACACACACACACACACACACACACATCCTTAAACTAGGATTTACACTGGTTTGTGGTGATGTGATCAGTGGCATCTTTGACGTCAGGACACCTTGTGGCATTCATTAACTGATTTAACTACCATGTATTGCATGCGACCTGTGAGACCCTATGCTACATACAGGCCACAGCCACAAGTAACCACCATCTGAGACTTTGCTGCTCGTCAGTGTGGGCCCCAGATGAGCAGCATCAGCATCACCTGGAATTTGTTAGGCACTCGGGTAGTTTTTTTCGTACCTGAGACCACAAAGTATAATGACTTACTTTGTGTTCAGTTCATTACTCGATAATCTGGTAGTTTGAAGTATGCTTGACTCTCTTTTATTACTGCCTGCTTTATAACCCAGCTGATGATTGCAATTAGTGGATTGTCTCCTTTTTAATTGTCACTGTGTTACTATAATGAAACCAAAGTTTCCTGTCTGTACCTCAAGTGTGCCCCAAATCTCTGCTTGCCTGGACCCTTTTGGCCACTTGGAATATTTTTCCTTAATTCTTACCTACCTTCAAGACTGAGCTCAAGTTTTCTTCTTCCTTGAAGCCTTTTGTTTTTGTTTGGGGGGTGGGGGTACATGTGTGTGCAGAAGCCAAGGAACAGCTTTGGATGTCATTTATCAGGTACTGTCTACCTTGTTTTTTGAGACAGGGTCTCTCACTTGCCTGGAACTCACTTAGTAGACTAGGCTAGCTGGCTAGCAGGTCCCAAGAATTCACCTGTCTCCACCTCCCTAGCACTGAGATTATAAGCACATGCCGCCATGCCTGGATTTTTTACATGTATTCTAGTGGTTGAACTCAAGTGCTCACACTTGCAAAGAAAACACTTTCCCAACTGAGCTATGGTCCCAGCTCTTTGTTTTTGTTTTTGCTTTTGGTCTTTGTTTTGTTTTTCAATATTTTATTTCTTATTTTTATTTTATGTGTATGAGTATATGGCTTGCATGTGTGTAAGTACCCCTGTATCATGCAGTGACAGAGGAGGTCAGAAGAAGTAGTTGGAGCCGCTGAAACTGGAGTTATGGAAGGTTGTTAGCCGCCATGTGGGTGCTGGGAACCAAACCCAGGTCCTCTGCAAGAGTAGCCAATGCTCTTAACTACTGAGCAATCTTTCCAGCCCCTTGGTTTTGTTTTTCATTTAGGCAGTGCTGGAGATTGAACCCAAGGTCTCACTGCACTTGGGCAAGGACTCTACCACTGAGCAGCTCCACAGCCCTCTTTTCACTTCCTTATTTTGAGACGAGTTCTCACTAAGTTGCCCAAGCTGGCCTTGAACTCTCTGCATGGCCCAAATGGGCCATGTAGGTGCTACTCTCCTGCTTTAGCCTCCCAAGTCACTAGGATTACAGGCCTGTGCTACTAAGCCTGGCTTAAGCCTTCTCTTACATGCTTAACAAAAATAATCTCTCCCTTCTCAGAATTCCCAGAGGACTCTGTGTCAGTATGTTCTGGCATTTGAAATCTCCCATCTGTGATATGTCAGTGGACTTTAAAAACAATCACAGCCAGGCTCCGGTGTCAAATTGGAACTGGCTAAGATTGCCCCCAGGCCTTTAGCACAAGACTTTTACACACAGCAATATTGTACTGGTGGCATTTAAGTAAAAAGAAAAAGTGAGAGCATGTGAATCTGTCACCAAAACCTGTTTCAGGAGGTTAGTGTAGGCACTAACAAGGTCCAAAAAGATGGAAAAGTCTGCTTCACAACATCTGGGCACCTCTCCAAGTGCATGAATCACAAGGATGTAGATCAGGGGCCGGGGAGATGACTCCATCAGTCAACTGCCTGCCCTGCAAGCCAGGGGACCTGAGTTTGGATCCCTAGCACTTACATAAAAAGCCGGTCATGGCAGCCTATTCTAGCACACGGCCTGAGGAAGGACAGTGGTGAGGAGACAGGCAAATCCCCAGTTCTCTTCGGCCAGCTAGTCTAGCCAATCAATGAGCTCCAGGTTCAGCGAGAGATCCTGTCTCAAAAAATAATGCAGAAAGTACTTGAGGAAGACACTGACATCAACCTCTGGCCTCCATGTGTACTCACATGCCCACATGTACATGTTCTCTCTCTCTTTCTCTCTCTCTCTCTCTCTCTCTCTCTCTCTCTCTCTCTCTCCTCTTCCTCCTCCTCTCCTCTCCTCTCCCTTCCCCTCCCCCCTCCATGAAAACATATACTACACACACACAATGTTTTGAAAATAAAGTGTGTAGATCACTGTTAACCTCCAGCATGGCCACTGAAGGAAAGAGTAACCCACGGAAATCACAAAAGTCATGAAGAACCAAGCTGATTTGGCCTTTTTTCAGCATGAACTATATTTCGAAAGTGATGATCCCCAAGCCTGGAATGTTTTAATAGGCAAAGTACTTTCCATTACCTCAGGGAGGTTCATGAGAAAAAAATATAAAGTCCAAATAGAGTGAATTTAAATTCACTATAGTTTAATAATGGAACTAGCCATGTAGGAATTCTAGAAGGAAAATCGGGCCCTAATTAAACTCTGACAATAAAGACTTAGGAAAGCATAGAGGTTGAATGGCCTCATCAGGGTTACTTGGTGTGAGATTCAAGCTCCTGGAGGCCATGATTACCAGCCAGGTGGAGAGAACTCAATCATGCATTAAAGACACCAATTATTAATATTATTTAATGTTCCTCACATAAATCTCAGATATTAATTCCTGGAAAAGGATTGATTGGCATTCTGTGCTCCTGCTAGCTTCCTCTACTTGCCCCCAAAACACACTGACCCTTTTGGTCTGCTGTCCCTCAGCCCTGAATGTCTTCCCTCCTCAGCCCCACATGATAGTCTGTCTCCTCATTTTGGTCTTAATTCAGATGGTATCCATTGATGATGTGGATTCCAACATCAGTGTTCATACAGAGTTTCACTGAAACAAGGTTTTTACTCATCCATCATCTGTGAGTACTTTCAAAGTGCAGTGTCAGACAGTAGACTAACAAAGACCAAAACGCAGAGGAGGGCCTTTCACTTGGACCTGGAGCTCTCCGACTCTGCTAGTTTATCTAGCCAGCTTGCCCTAGGATCCTGTCTCTACCTCTTGAATGCTGGGATTACAGGCAAGCCACATCCACCCAGTTTTCACCTGGGTTCTGTGGCTCTGAGCTCTGGTCCTCATGCATGCACAGCAAGTGCTTTACCCACTAGGCCATCTCCCCAGCCTTGTTTCCTAATACTTTTTCTTTTATTTTTTTTTAGTTTATGTGTATGAGTGTATCACCTGCATGTATGTAAGTGTACCTGTGTCATGCAATGACCACAGAGGTCAGAAGAGGGCATCAGAACCCCTGGAGTTATAAATGGTTGTTAGCCACCATGTGGGTGTTGGGAATCAAACCCGGGTTCTCTGCAAGAACAGCCAGTGCTCTTAATTTCTGAGTCATCTCTCCAGCCCCATTTCCTTATTTTTTTAAAATGCCTTGTAGAAAAAGCATTTGCCAAACCCCTATTCTAGGCTAAATTAGTACTCCCCCTGTGACATTTATCCATTTTATTTTCTTCATAGCAGCTACTAACCTCTGTCTCTCTCTTTCTCTCTCTCTCTCTCTCTCTCTCTCTCTCTCTCTCTCTCTCCCCTTGTTTAAAAATTCTCTCCACTTTCCCTCCCACAATAAAACAGTCATTCCACAAGAGCAGAGATTTCTATCTTACATGCCTCTGTGTTCTCAGCTGCTATGCCTGGCTATGACACATAGTCAACTCTTGTTAGCATTTAAAATCTTGTACCATTACTATTACTGACAGTAAACATTTCACAAGTTGAAGCTATCAGAGAAATTGCTGCATTGGTAATCTACATGGCCTGTCTTTTCCGTCTTTTTTTCAGTTGTAAAATGCACATAACCTAAACTTTACCATCTTAGCCATTTTAAGTACAATCATCTCTCAGTATCCCTAGGGGCTTGGACCCAGAACCCCCTGCAGATACAGAAATCCTTGAATATTCTAGTCCCTTATATAAACTGTGATGGCATTTGCATGTACACACACACACACACACACACACACACACACACACACACACCGCCACCGCCGTGTTCTTTAAACTGTCGCTAGATTACTTACAATAGTGAACACAATGTATATACTATGCTAATTGCTGTTTATTGTACTGTTTGGGGAGTAATGGCAAGTGAAAAGTCTGCTTAGTACAGACACAGTTTCTTCAAAGTATTTCCCATCCACGGCTGGTTAAATTCACAGATGTAGAACCCACCTATACAAAGGACCAACTGAACATTCACACTGCTATACAACCATCACCACCATCCCAACCCAGAAACTTCTGCATAGAGCAAAACTTAATCAGGTTCAGTTAGTAAAGTGCTTTTTGAGCAAGCATGAAGACCTGAGTTCAATTCCCAAACACCCATGCAAAAGAAAGCCTGATGTGGTGGCATATGCTTGTAATCCCAGCACTGGGGAGGCAAGGACAAGCAGATCCCTGTGCTTGCTGGCCAGACAGCCTACCCTAATCTGCAAGCCCAGGATCCCAGTGAGAGGTCCTGTCTCAAAAATAGATAACTAGCACCTAAGGAACAACACCCGAGCTGTACTCTAACTTCCATACACACACACACACACACACACACACACACACACACACACACACACGGTACACACAAAAAGGAGAAAAAAACTGAAACCATACCACCATTCCTGTCCCTGCATGTGGCCACTACAGAACATAAGTAAGCCTTTAGTATGCATGTGCCAAATACATGAACCCTGAATGATCTTTGCATGGGTTGTCAGGAACCAATAGATGGTTTCTAACAAAATTCTCTTCCTTCTCTCACTTATTTTAAATATTCTAACAGTTCTCATCAAATCTAAGATGTCACTACATCTTCTAGTTTGCTTTCTGTTGCTGTGACACCATGACCGAACAACTTATGAGGAAAGGGTATAATTGGTTTCTAGGTTACAGTCCATCTTTGAGGGAAGCCACTGTAGGAGCTCAAATATGAAGTCAGAAACTGAAGCAGAGACCATGGAGCTTACTAGCTTGCTCCCAGCCTCACATTCAGGTATCTTCCTTATACAGCCCAGGCCCACCTGTCTTAGGGATGGTGCCGTGGGCCCTCCTACAACAATTACCAATCAAGAAAATGCCCCAGCTGGGCATGGTGGCACACACCTTTAATCCCAGCACTTGGGAGGCAGAGGCGGGCAGATCTCTGAGTCCAAGGCCAGCCTGGTCTACACAGCCAGGCCAGTTGGAGCTACAGGGAGCCCCTACCTCAAAAAAGACCAAAAAAAGAAAAGAAAATGCCCCACAGAGAGGCCCATAGGCCAATCTGATGGAGGAGATTCTTCAATTGAGATTCCCTCTTCCCAAGTGTGTCAAGTTGACAACCAAGATTAGCCATCACACCACAAAAGGACACACCATTAGTTGTAAGATACAGACATGTTCTTATTTCAGAAACCTCAATATCTGAAGAGCAGGTTGATATACCATGGGCTTTATTCCATTAGCTACATCAGATACATTCTGAAAGTATGGCAGGGAAGGGGGTAAAGTCACAAAAGCAATGAAATCAAACCCCTGCTTTTAGAGGTGAAACACCTGTCTTAATGTTTGTCTTCTCCCCAAAGTGACTCCCCCATTCCACTCCCATAATCAGTCTCACCAGTAATGTTGGAGGGTGTCCTCAAAATCCCAGTCATCCAGGAGTAGAGAGCTTTCTGGGCATGAGCCGAGGTTTGGTCGTAGAGCTCTTTGAACACTGTGGATCTAAGAGAGATGGACACAGAGGCTTCCATTCACAGCATCCTGGAGAGGCGCCAAGACAGCAACGTGCCCAGAGCTGCCATGTTGAAACCCTCCCTGCACCTTTGCTGTGTGCAGTTATCATCCCCATTTTTCCTCTCCCCACCCCCACAGCTTCCAAAGAGCAGTCGACATATACTGTCTCCATTTCCTCACCTGATTTCTTTATGTGTGTGTGTAGTAGTTTGGTTTCTTTTTTGTTTGTTTTGGGTTGTTGTTGTTGTTGTTGGGTCTCCCGGTAGTCACAGGATTCGCTATGGAGACCAAACTGGCCTCCAACTCACAGAAATCCCCCTGCCTCTACTTCCTGAGTGCTGGAACTAAAGGTGTGTGCCACCATACCCAGCACGTGTAGTAGTTTTTAATTTTTTATTTATTCAGTTTTATTTTATGTGTATGAGTGTTTTGCCTATATGTATTTAGGTGCACCATGTGCAGGCAATGCCTGTGGAGGCTAGAAGACAGCATCAGATCCCCTGGAACTGGAGTTAGGGACAGTTGATAGCCGCCATGTGGGTTCTGGGAACCCAACCCAAGGCCCCTGTAAGAGCAGCCAGTGCTCTTAGCCACTGAGCCATCCCTCATGCCCTATATGGAGCAGCTTTTTTGAGATATACTTTCCATGCTCTATAATTCACCCATTTAAAGTATATCATTCACCAGCACTCCAGGAGGTGAAGACAGAATTAGGAAGATCAGCCTTGGCTATATAGCAAATTTGAGACTAGTTTGGACTACATGAGACTCTGTCTCAAGGAAATGAAATCATGAAATTTTCGGGAGAATGGGTAGAACTGGAAATTATTATATTAGGTGAGGTAACCCCAATCCCAGAAAGACAACCACAGCATGTTCGTCCTCATACACAGATCTTAGCCTAATTTTCACAAATGTGTGAGTGAGTTACGTGGAGGTCAGGAAACTAGAAAGAATCCCATGAGAAAGGGAAATGGTTCTAAAGGAGAGGGGTGGGGAGGGAGATAGAACACGTGTGATATGAAAGTAGAAGGGAGAAATTTGGGGGGAAAGGTTTCAGCAGTGATGGGAGCAGAGAGAGGAGGGGATGATGGCTGGTTAACCAAAACTAAGTATGTGTAAAAATGGCAGAAGGAAACCTGCTTTCTTTAAGAAAATAGGAAAATTATATAAAATATATAAAATAATATATAAAAATAAATATATTATTTGATGGTTTTCAGAATATTCTCAAAGTTATGAAACTGTCATCATCATCACCATTTAGAACATTCACATTCAACATCTCACAAAGAAACTCATTCACTTAGCTGTCATCCCCAACCCCTGGAAACCACCACTCTCTATGGATTTGCCTCTCCTGGGCACTTTGTATAAATGGAGTCATGCCATACATGGTTCCTGTGTCTGGCTCCTTGCACCTGCATGATGTTTTCAAGGATGATATGTGTTGGAGCACATATCAGGCCTTCACTGATTTTAATGGGGAAATAATATTCCATTGTATGAGTATATTACATTTTGGTTACCCAGTCACTATCGTACCACTCCCCAAGGCTGTAGTCACAAACTGTGCCTTCTTGCCATACACAAAGGTCCAGTTGTTCCAAATAGGACTTGCCATTTCACAGCTTCTGGCACTGCCCACCCCTCCTGCTCACACTGAAAGCCACCTGAATCTCTGCAGCCTGGAAGTCTACTTCCCACTCGCATCCCCACTACTGAGAACAACTTGCCACACCAACAAGTCATCACCTTTTCTGAGGTGAGCACTTCCTCCAGCTCCTTCTCATCATTCTATGTGGGAATGAGTAAAATTTCTCTCAAATCTCATGAAATTGTGTCTCTATATCTTTTCCTCTTCCTTTCTTTGCCTTTATTTTTTTGTTTTATTTTGATGTCATTTATTTTTACTTTGGTATATGTGTGTGTGCCTGCTTGTCTGTGTATGCACCACATGTGTGCAGATGCCCTCAGAGGCCAGAAGAGGGCATCAGAACACCTGGGACTGGAGTTACAGACAGTTATGCACAGACAGCTGGGAACCAAACCCAAGTCCTCTGCAAGAGCAGCCAGTGCTCTTAACCACTAAGCCACCTCTCCAGCCCCTTGTTTTGTTTTTTATAAACAAGAGTAGCTGAAAAGGCAGGGCCAATGGAAAGACATAATTCTCAGGTATATGTATGTGCATATAAATGCATATGTATGTATGTATGTATGTATGTATGTACAAGTATGTATGTATGTATATGTATACACACACATTGGAAAGCATCATTTAAAGGAAGTATTGCCTGTATCATTCCCTTCTGGGACCCTGCAGACCTAGGGTGAGTCATTTACTCTCTCTGGGCTTCAATTTCCTCATCTGTGAAGAAAAGAGAGATGGTAGGGTAGAGGGGGAGGGGGACAGCATCAGGGTTCAGGAGACCTGGGTCAAATCCCCTGGGGTCACCTCAGGGTCAGGAGGCAGAGCCCTCATGAATGGGATTAGTGACCTTATCCCAGAGACTCCCAAGAGGGCTCCCTCACCCATTCTGCAGGAAAGGACCCAGTAAAAAGATGCCATCTATGAACCAGAAAGTAGACCTTCGAATGACATCAGATCTGCAATGCCTGACCTTGGGCTTCCCAACCACCATCAAGAGAGAAGCTTTCAGTCTACAGTACTTTGGAATAATCTCCTAAAATACTTAGATGAGCAATGTGTGTAGCTGGGATTTGGTGATGCCTTTTCAGTATACTTTATGATTATCTTTACTTAAGATAAAGAATACTGGCTTTCCGTTTATGGAAATAAAAACAAATTTACTTTAAAATACTTTTTTCCAGGCTAGAGAGATGGTTCAACAGTTGAGAACACTGACTGTTCTTGCAGAAGACCCGTGGGTTCGAATCCCAGCACCCACATGGCATCTAACAACTGTCCTTAACTCCAGTTCCAGGGGCTCCTACAGCCCCTTCTGTCCTCCGCCAGTATTGCACGACACAGGTGCACTTACCTACATGCAGGCATAACACTCATACACATAAAAATAATAAAATATTTTAAAACACTCTTTTCCATGCGTCTATGTGTGTAGTGTGCACGTGTGTTTGCATGTGTGCGGATGAATGTGTGCCTGTGCCTATGGTCACCTGAGGTTGATGTTGGGAATCATCTTTCATTGTTCTTCCACCGTATTCATTGAGGCAGGGTTTCTCAATCGAGACCAGAGCTAGCTGATATGCTTAGCCTCCCTAGCTAGCTTGCTATGAGAATCCCCTGTCTCCTCCTCCCAAGGCTGGATTACAGGCGGGCTGCCACACTCACCCAGCATTTACATGGGTTCTAGAGATCTGAGCACTGGTCCTCATGCTTGCACAGCAAGCACTTTACCCATTGAACCATCTCCCCAGCCCTAAAATATTTTTAAGTGAAAAGGATGTTTGTCTTCATAGATAAGCATGAAGTAAATCCCGGGGCTGGTGGTGTATACATGGTGCATAAACTGAACGGTTGGTCCCCAGACACTAGCATCTCTTAGCTCCACTTCATAATCTGTTTACACTGTCTCTGCCCTGACAGGTGTTACCTCCTTGAATCCTCACAGCAGCCCCTGAACAACAGCGCAGAGAAAAGGGCTAAGGAAAGCACTCACAAGTTCTTAAAGGCATCCTCCCTCAGGTCCTGGGGTAGCCTCTCTGTGATGTCTGGCTGTAGAAAGCTGCCAGAGGACCCCCTCAGCATCCTGCCCAGGATCTCCACACACTCCAGGGGGTTCAACAGCTGGAAACACCGCTCCAGCGTGATAAGAAACAGACTGCGGTTCACACCAGGGCTCTGAAGGGCTTGTTCCCGAATCTCTCCCAAGTGGATGACAATATCCTTCAGGTCCTAAAGAAATGAGAAAAGCTGGCATCACTGCGTTAGTCGCTGCATCTTGTGACCAAAACACCTGAGAAAACAACTTAAAAAGGAAAGATTTATTTGGTCTCCTGGTTTCAAAGGGTCAGTCCATGGTCACTTCATCCCATGTACTTAAGCAGAACATCATAAGGGAGGGAGAAGGCTGTTCACCTCGTGGTGGACAGGAAACAGGGAAAGGAAAGGACCGGTTATAACTCTCAAAGACCCTCCCAGAGTTTCCACATCTCCCCAAATGGTACCGGCAGCTAGAGACCAAGAGCTCAGCACATGAGCTCACATTCAAACCATTATCAGCACCTTGAGAGCTGCCTCTGGATTCAGAAGCACTGGGAGGGACCCACATACTGCAGCAGAAATTCAGAATCACAGTTTAACACCATGTTTCTATGTGCAAACTTCTAGAAGTTTTCATTACCTTCAGATCAAAGGCAAGGCCTTCACCTGCTCTACCAACCCTAGGCCATGCCCTGTTCTCCAAGTGCACCATGATTATCATACCTCTGGCCCATAGTCTTGCTGGAATTCTTCCTCCTACTCCCTCCTAGCAAAGGGATCCCTCATCCTATGCAAACTCAAACCAAATAAAATCCCAGCATAGACATGGAGAAGTGGGTAAAAAATCCCAACCTAACCTAAGGAACTTTTGGCAATTGATGGCTACTGGGATGGGGAAAGACAGTGTCTTACAGGGGTGGGACTCTTGTTGGGCCCAGTGGTTACATTCAATTGGGCTGGAGTCAGAATGAGGAGGTGCGGATAGGGGAGATCTAAATACCCTCAAACTAAAATCACAAAAATACAGTAAAAATATTTTGTTGAGAATTTTTGTTTTTTTTTTTATTGTATTTCAAGCTGTCATTGGAAGTTCCTTACTCTCATAGAGACTCAGTTTCCTCATCTAAATATTGAAATGGTAAGATTGTTTCTTATTTTCTATTTTATTTGCAGTACTAGGAATATAACTCAGGACTTTGTGAATACTAGGTAAGCACACAACCACTGAGCTAAACACTCAGTCTTTGTATGGGGCGGGGGTAAGTGTGTGTCTGTGTGTGTGTCTGTATATGCATGTCTCTGTGTGTGTGTCTATCTGTTTTGAGACAGAGTCTCACTCTCTGACCCAGGCTGGACTAGAATTTACTATGTAGCACAGAGTGATATCAAATTCATGGATATCTTTCTGCCTCAGCATCCTGAGAGCTGGGATCATAGGCATGCGCCACCAAGCCTGGCTTTAAATGGTAACATTCTCATCAACCTCGTTTAAGAAAATTCTTGAGAGGATTAAGTGAATCCATGCATGTTAAACCCTTAGGACAATGATCGGTAAGTTATTTGTCCCATGGGCCAAAATTGGCCAGCACTTGTTTTGCGAATAAAGTTTTATTGGAGTACACCTACACCTGCTAACAGAGTTGACTAATTGTGACAGGGAGTCTATGGCCTACAAATCTTAATTTTTACTTATTGGTCCCTTATAGAAATTTGCTGGTCATTCCATTTAAATGACACCTCACAAACAGAAAACCCTCAGTAAACATTAGACAACATAATTTTCAAAGGCCACATCCCCATTTTGCATAATTTCCTACACTTCATAGTTTATTTAAGACTGAGTCTTTTTTAAATTTATTATTTTTATTTTATTTGTATGCGTGTATTGCCTGCATGTAGGTAAGTGCACCTGTGTCATGCAATGCCCTCGGAGGACAGAAGAGGCTGTCAGATCCCCTGGGACTGGAGTTACGGACAGTTGTTAGCTGCCATGTGGATGCTGGGATTTGAACCCGGGTCTTCTGCAAGAACAACTAGTGTTCTTAACCACTGAGCCATCTCTCCAGCCCCAAGACTGAGTCTTTTTTAAATGCTGAAATACATTGCAAAATGAAATGTGTCCATACCAAACCAGATTGATTTATTTGTTATATTTTAACAAGTACTATTAAAGTAAGTATATCATTAGGAGTTAAGGGTATTGCTTGCTCAGCATGCATGAGGCCCAGGGTTTGGTCACTAGCACTACCAAAATAATTAAATTAAAAACTAAGTATATGACCATTAAAATGTTTAACTCTTCTTCAGGACCTTATGAATTAAGACTAATAAGAATCTTACCATTTCAGTGTTCACAGGAGGAACAGGCTTAGAGAGGGTTCAACTCTATTTTGGAAACAGTGTTCCACACAACTTTCTCCAATAAGTAAAACACTAGCCTTGACTTTTGGGGTCCCCAGGGCTTTCTGCATCTTGGGGGTCCAGCCCTGGGATGCTCTTGTGCCACTAACCTTGTTTTGTGGGTGTTGTCTGTTGCTGCTTTCCCCCCCAGCTCTGGACTGTAAGCTCCTTGAGGACAGGGATGGTCTTTATCTCTACACCCACAGGTACACAGCAGTCATGCCCAGATGCTTACCAACCTAAGCTACTAGAAGACCCTCTGCACCTTCGCTCTTAGTGTCCATAAAAGTAGAAACTAAAACTTTGGAGAAAGTGAGTGCAAAAACCCAAGTCCTATAGCCCCCAGTGGGTTGGAGGAAGGAGTGGAGAAGGGCCAAGGCCAGGGTAGACTCAGCTGAGATGAATCCATCTGCCCTGGACTCCTCCTGCCAGGATGCCAAGGTCTCACCAGGCGGTCCTGCTTGTCCTCCAAGAGATATTTCATGGCCATGTGGAACTGCTGGGCATCGGTGTTCCTCAGGTCTTCCAGCAGTTTCTGGGGCTGGTACAGGTACTGCTCCAGGTAGTTTTCTGCGGCTGCCTGGACACGAGATTCAGAGAGTTGGTGAGGACTGCAGAACTGAACAATGGGCCAGCACCACAACCAGCCTTCCAGCCAGTTTCCCCTGACTCCCCGCAGAGTCTACCAACTGCCAGGCAACTGGTATATGGGATTTTCAGAGGTTGCAAATATTGAAAAATCAGGGGATTCCTCGCCAAACTCAGATTTCAAAACTTTGCTTAGGAAACACAAAGATCAACAAACACTGGGTGTGCAACCAACTTCCATGCAGCAATGGACCAACCAGTCTGATTTCCCTATTCTGTAGCCTGCCTGGTCCCCATCCAGACCAGCTGGCCTCTGCCAGGAAGTTGAGCACCCCTGATACACCGTTGCTCAGACACAAAAGTGCAACACAGGAGAAAATTCGGGCAGAATGAACAAACTTGTCTGTAGTGCCCTGCCCAGGCCACCAGCCTCTCCTAAAAGAAATTCTCTTGCTATTTGGGGACTTGTTTTCTTTTTTATTTAGAAGGATTGGGTTTTGTTGCTTTATTTTGGAAAACAGAATCTCACTATGTAGCCCAAGCCAGCCTTGAATCCATAATCCTTCTGTCTAAACCTCCCAAGTACTAGGGTTACAGTTGTGTGCCAAGATGCCCAGCATCAAATTCTCAAATTTTCCTTACACAGAAATCCTCTAGGAAGGTAGTGTGATGTCATATTGTGGGCGAACACTGGATATGAAGGACAGATAACCCATATGCAAATCTTATCATCACACTTATCTGAAATTCATATTTAATCAGACATTTGGTATTTGGGTTGTAGGTTTTGTTTTGTTTTTTGAAACAGGGTCTCTTGTGGCCCAGGCTGACCTCAAACAATGTAGCCAAGAATGTCTTTGAACTTGTGCTCCTTCTACCTCCATGTGCCAATCATGCCCAGTTTATGTAGTACTGGGGATCAAACCCAGGGCTTCATGCATGCTAGGCAATGACTCTACCAACTAAGCTACATCTTCAGCCCCAGACATCCTATATTTTTATTTGCAAAGTCAGCATCACTACCTCTGGGCCTCATCTGAAAAACAGAGAATCCAATAGTGCTTACCATATAGAGTGTTATGAGGATTAAGCATGGATTCTCAATAGTGCCTAGCACATGAGTGCTCAGCAGTCCCAGTCATTACTCTGCACGTGCTGAGTTTTGATTTATTTGATGTCTCTCCCCCCAGAAGGAAGGGACCAGATGGGAGTAACACGGCTGTTTTGTTCTCCACTTGATTCTCAGTGTCTGTAACTGTGACTGCTAAGAAAGTGGACGCTAAGGAAGTAGAGCTAGTGAATGAATAAATGCACTGCATACAGGAAGAGAAGTAATATACCTACCAATATGAGAAAACCTTACTTCTCGTTAAGTTTCAAGGACAGATGCCGGGTGGGCCCAACAGCCACCTCCAGCTAGTGGGTAAACAGACAGCTCTCTGAATGCAGTTCTGATATGAATATTGGTTCATATTTTTGTTTTCATTAAAAGTAAGTTAAACTTTGCTCTGGAAACTGTTATTATGTCAATGCTGTTATAATGAAATGCTTCTACTAATTATGTGGTTATGAAATAAATTTTTAAAAAATAAAGTAAAATAAAAAGTAAGCTAAAATGGAAATAACAAAGAACCATGTTAGACCTTTATTCATTAGCCTATAGTGTGAGTTCTTTGTTAAACAGGGTGGTCATTTGTGAATACTGAAATAGCAGCTCCCCACATGCTATTCACAATACAGCATGCAGAGCTAACAGCCATGCCAAGAAGCCCAGTTAAGCACAACACACCCACCATGACCTACTAATGCTCTAGGCAAATATCCACTGCCATCACCACATGTATGTTGGCTGTGTTTTTTCTCCCAAGGTTCATGTGTTAGAAGCTTGGTCCCCAGTGAAGTGATAATTGAGATTATGTGATCTTTAAGAGGTGGAGCTTACTGGGAGGCCATAGGGACACTGCCCTTGGAAGGAATCGAGGTAGTTCTCATGAGACGCTGGTTAGTTCTTATGAGAGGTTTGTTTGAAAAGAGTGAGACTGACCATGAATCTAGCCCCAGAGTCACGTCTCACCAAGCATTATCTCCCTCTCATGGGTGCTCCCACCACAGCAATGGCATCCACCATGAGGGTATATATCTGCGGGGTCCATCATGCTTATGGATGTCAGCCTCTAAAACTATGATCTGAATAAAACAATTTTTTTTAAATTGCCAGGCATGGTGATGCATGCCTTTAATCTCAGCACTCAGGAGGCAGAGGCAAGAAGATCTCTATGAGATTGAGGCCAGTTGGTGTACACAGAGGGAGTTCCAGGTCAGTTGGGGATACAGGGAGACCCTGTCTCCAAAAAACAAACAAAAAATATTTATTCTATACATGTTTGTTTGTGTCTGTGTGAGTATGTGCTTACACGTGTATGCAGGTGCCCACAGAGGCCAGAAGAGGACATCAGATCTAGAGTAACAGGTGTTTGCGAGCCACCCCACATGGGTGCTGAGACCTGAACTCTGGTCCTCATGATTGAGCAGCAAGTGCTCTTAACTGCTGAGCCATCTTTCCAGCACAAAACTCTTTCCTTTACAAAGTACCTGGCCTAGAGTATTTTGTTACAAGAATAGAAAACTGTCTACCTAATACACTCCTGGTATTCTTTTATTAATCAAGTTCCTCCCGTTTCCACTAGGTGCAGTTCCTTTGCACTAAGATGTGACTACAGCCTGTAAGCCAGTAGAATGCAAGCAGAAGGAATCACGTAGCTCCTAAGTCACATCCTTAGACAAAAAGATGGTCACCCTACAGTGCCTCTTCCTAGCCCTCTCCTTGGGTTAGAGAACAGACAAAATATGGTGCTTTAACCATGGGCAAAAGGAGCCTGGGTTGCCAGACCACCTTTTAAATACAGCTGCTTCTCCTTTATGGGTATCTTGCTTAGCTCCGGGTTGTTATACAAAAAAATAAAGTAAATTCGTTGAGTTGTTGTAATTTGGGGACTCTGCTGGCAGTTAGCCTATACTTTAATATACCATTTCACCACAAAAAAAATGGAGAAATGAAAAGAAGACAAAGGAACTTGTACCATATTTCAATGAAGACTGGTCAAGACACTTTCCTGATCTAAAGGAAGATTGTCCCTTCAGCCTGCACACTTCTCCAATGCTCCTGAATCCCGAGTTTGTCATCAGTGGGCACCGAGACCAGAATGTAGAGATGGGTCTCAGATACACACCTGCAGGCCAGGGATGGTGAAAGCCACGTTCTGTGAGTTCAGATAGGCCAGGACTCTGTGGGGCAGGTCCTCAGTCCATACATGGGAGCTTCAGCAAAGACAGATGGCAGAAAGTCACAATGACAAGTTTCCCTGCAAACAGCCTTGCACTGGTTGTGTGCCCTGGGGCTCAGGGATGAGGGTGGGAATGGGCCATAGATGCTAGGAACTTTTATGCCTGGATATAGGAGATGCTGTCACCTGCCACAGTGGGAGAGAGTGTATTGCCTGCATGTAGGTAGGTGCACCCGTGCCATGCAATGCCTGTGGAGGTCAGAAGAGGATACTGGATCCCCTGGAACTGGAGTTATGGACAGGTGTGAGTGTTTGCATGCATATGGATGCCTGGAGATAACCTGGGGTGTCATTAGGACTGGGTCTTTCATTGTCCTGAAGCCCACTGATTCAGCTAGACTGGGCAGCCAGCGAGCCCTAAGTCCCCTCCTCTCTCACCTCCCCAGCACTGAGATTGGAAGCATGTGCCACCATGTCTGGCATCTTGTTCTGGAGTTCAAACTCAGGTCCTCATGCTCTCAAGGCAAACACTTTACTGAGTGAGTCAACTCCCTAGCCCTTACCAACAAAGTGTTTGTTTGTTTGTTTGTTTGTTTGTTTGTTTGTTTGAGACCCGTCTTTCTGTAGCCCCAGCTGGCCTGGAACTCATTATGTAGACAAGACTGGGCTCACTCTCACAGAAGTCCACCTGCCTCTGCCTCCTGAGTACTGGGATTAAAGGTGTGTGCCACCATGCCCAGCACAAACAGGTTTTTAAAAATATTTTATCCGTTAGTTTTATTTTATGTATATGAGTGTACTGCCTGCATGTAGGTAAGTGCACCTGTGCCATGCAATGCCCGTGGAGGTCAGAAGAGGATATCGGATCCCCTGGAACTGGAGTTACAGACAGTGGTTAAGCTGCCATGTGGGTGCTGGGACTTGAACCCGGGTCCTCTGCAAGAGCAGCCAATGCTCTTTACCTCTGAACCATCTCTCCAGCCCCACAAACAGGTTTTGATAATCCCTTGACTGTCACAGATAAATAGATGGACGGATGGGCAAATGAGTAAATAAATAAAAACTGTAGCCTGAGAGAGTATATCCAAAACCATCCTTTGGAATTCTCCTTCAGAGAGGAAGATTTACAAGAACTTTTCACCTTGCTGTCCCTGTTATGGGTCCCGAGGCTCCCACATCTCCTTCAGAGAATGTATATTATGATTTTATTTATTTTTATTTTATGTGAATTAATGTTTTGTCTGCATGTATGTAAGCACACCCATGCATGCAATGGCCAAGGAGGGCATCAGATCACCCGGACCTGGACTTATGCATGGTTGTTAGTCACCATATGGATGCTAGGAACTGAACCCCAGTCCTCTGCAAGAACAGCCAGCACTCTTAACCACTGAGCAATCTCTCCAGCCCCTGAGAATGCATGTTAGAATGCAGTGTTGATGGTGGCCTTTCTGCAACCCCCCACATCACCCCATATCGCCAGTCTCTCACACAGACCTGAAGCAGCACAGAGCTGATTAGTGCTAGGAACAGGCCCTGGAGCTAGTTGACAGGGCCATACCCCAACTCTACACCACTACCCAGCAGTGTAGCCTCCACTTTCCCTCCCCAAGCCTCAGCTTCATTATTCTGTATTCTGCCCAATGAGATAGCCACCAGACCCATCCTGAGGGGTGGTGAGGATTAGCTGCATTTCTCTACACCAAGCACTTAGAATAACGTGGCTGTCTCAGGAGCACCCAGACATCCCGGGTCTCATACTACATCACAGGAGCACTAAGTGTTTGGGGAACAAGAGTGCCAGTTTTAAAACACTGTGCATTGATTAATACTTTTTGAAATGAGTACATATTACTTTTCACAATTAAGAGATTTCCTCTAAGGATTATTATGAAAAGTCTATTCCATCCCTCCCATCCCATTAGTCTAAGGAGGATTACCTGTGAAACTGTATGAGATCCAGTAATGCTACAGTGGGGATAAAATGAAGAGATTTCTTTAAAGGGAGTCATTGCACAGACATTATATCCATATTCTGTTTGAAATTCTCAGAAGATACACACAGGGACAGACTGGGGACATTACCATTCAGATAACTTCCCTCTATTATTTCTTCCTAAAAGACAAAGAGATAACATCAAGTATAATATTCAAATTTGGCAATGCCAGTAGAGGGGATTTTGATTCAAAGGAAATCGAACACTCACCGCCATTTTTTGCAACAATGGATGTAAATCTGTAAGGAAACCATTGGATGACTAGAACTGAATTACATGACCTTCAGAAACACAAATGTGGTTACAATAAGAGCCCAGCAAAAGCCACTCAGGAAGGAAACTGTCAGTGAATGTTAATCATACCTGTACCTGGTGTGAGAAAACCTTGGTGTGCAAAACCTTTTGAGAACCCTTGCATGCCATTGTTTGTGGAGGTGACCCCAAAAAATAAAAGTAGAACTCAGTGTGATCCCACTACCCCACTCGTAGGCACAGCCCAGAGGAATAAGTCAGCATACCATAGGAATATTCGCACATCTGTGTTCAGTATGGCAGTGTTCACAGTCACCAAAATACAGAACCAGCCTGGGATCTCATTAATGAAAGAATGAGTGGAGAAAATGTGTATATACACAATAGAATATCATCCAACCTTAAAGAAGAATGAAGTTACATCATTTGCAGGAAAATCAGTGGAATTGGAGATTATCATGTTAAGTTAAATAATCCAGACTCAAAGGCAAACACTGAATGTCTTCTCTGTGAAATCTAATGAACCAGTGGGGAATGGGTACAAGAGAGGTGATGGGGTGAGGGTCAATATGATTGAGATCCATTGTGTGAAAGTGAGAAAATTGTATAATGAACCATTATTTTGTATGAATAATACACCTGATTTTTTAAAAAGACAATATAAAACCTTCTGGAATAACCCTAAAAGCCAACACCCACCCGTAGACACAGGAATGCACATACACAACCATGCCAGCACCCCGATCACCTGACTACCTCATGAACCTAACTGACCTATCCGGCTCCATCCCCTCAAATGTGTGGCAGCTGCAGAAGGTGGTTCCTTCCTCCTCAGGACTTACCCTGCCTGAAGCTTGGATCTTTCTGACACACACCTTCATGACTGAGAAACAGGAACAGAAGAAGGGAGCACACCCTGGGTTCTCCAGACATTCTCCTGCAGTTAAGTCAAGCACAGAAGTGATCCAGGTTCCTTTCCTTGTCTTTTAAAAATGTATTTAAGAATAATCAGGAGTCAAAATGATCACATAGATCCAAAATCACTCAAAAAATTTTAAATGATTTTTAAATTCCAGTATGTATCTAAGGTACATCCATCACTCTCCGCAATGACCTCAATATTCTATTTATATTCTTACCACCACCCAGATTCCACTGCACCCAGAAAAGAGGAGTGGTTAAAAGTACCCACTCTATTCTCTGCCATATGAGTTCTAGATCCAGGATGTAAGAAACCTTACGATTGTGTAAGAAGACAAGCCAATGGAAAAACTGTTATTTCTTAAATTAGATACAATAAAATTGTCCAATAAGCACACAGATTATCACATTACACTGTTATATGAGGAGAAAATTAGTTAATAGTAAGTCATTTCAAACAGGGGCTTTGTTCAGATCGAGTTCTATAGGTGGAATTTTTTTTAATAGTTTAATGTCTTTTAAAAGCAAACTTACAGGAACAGCACAGAGACCAACAGCATTCCCAAGCATGTACTTGCATGTAGGACAACTCAGAATAAGTATAGTGAACAGATGGAATCTATTGTATGATAAAAAGGCTGCAAACACCATTTAGCTGCCGTCAATAAGACATTTGCTTATTTAAAATAAATCCAAATGCTGGCATAGTCCAGAAAAACTTAACAGGTTTACTTATAATTGTTATAAAGTTGAACTTTTAAAGCATTCACTGAAACCTTTTGACTTGCATTAATGCTTTATGTCCTGCATTTATATTAAAAATTCACACACAAGTGAAAATGAAAAACTGCCAGTACTTGCTTTCTGTCCCCTATTTTCCACTCGCAGTCATGTACTTAGGTACCTTTTGACCCCATGGGGGAAAAAAATCTAACATTTAGAACTACTGATAAGAGGAAGAAGAAGGGAGAAAAATTTTTAGAGTGAAACGTTTTCTCTCATAGTGAATTCTTAAGCACGTTCACATACGTGGCGTGCTAGCTGGATAGTTTTTGGCATAATTGTTGCACGTTTGGCATACATAGCACACAGGTTGGTATCTTCAAAAAGGCCAACCAGATAGACTTCACTTCCCTCCTACAAAGCACCAATAGCTGCACTCTGGAAGCGCAGATCTGTTTTGAAGTCCTGAGCAATTTCTCACACCAGACACTGGAAGGGGAGTTTGTGAATCAGAAGTTCAGTGGACTTCTGATAGCATCTAATTTCACCAAGTGCCACAGTACCAGGCCTGTAGTGAGAGGTTTCTTCACCCCTCCAGCAGAGGGCGCATTGTTATGAGTGGCTTTTGTAGCCAGTTGTTTCCTGGGTGCTTTACCACTGGTGGATTTGTGGGCAGTCTGCTTTTATGAGCCATAGTACAGACACCTCCTTACTTACCCCCTTCTCCTTTGGCTGAGCGAGAGGCAGCACTGGTATGTGGCCAAGTGAGCTGGGAACACAATGTGAATTTTTAAATAAGCAAATAGGACAGATTGCTGTTTTCAATATTCAAATCTACTCATGTCATCTTTCTCCCTATTATCCCCAGGATAAACCAAGAACAATGCAAAAATAAACCATGATGAAATCACCCATGATGAGACTACCCACAATAAAGTCACCCACATAGTCACTAAAATGATTAAAGGTGAAAGACTGACATCATCAAATGTTGGCAGTGTTGTGGAGCAATGCGAACGCTCGTGCCCTGTTCACACAGCTTCTTTGGAAAACTGTTTGGGCAGAGTCTTATAAAATTAAATATACAATACTCTATAATCAAGGAAGTACAGAGGCTGAGGATGCGGCTTAGCATGTAGAAAGCTTGTCTAGCATGCACAAAGCACTAGGTTCAATCCCCAGCACCTCATAAGCTGGGCATTGGTGCTACCTACCTGTAATGCCAGAACTCAGGAAGTAGAGGCTACAGGATCAGAACTTCAAGGTCATCTTCAGCTATGTAGTAAATTTAAGGGCAACCTAGGATACATGAGACACTACCTTAAAAAAATGGAATTCCAGTCTTGGATACTTAGCAAGAAAAATGGAAACGTGCCCACACAAAGATTGGTAATAGCCTAAAAATCTGAAAACCAATTCCAATGTCCACCAACAGGTAGAAGGTTAAAGACATAGATCCATTCAATTAAACCAATGAAACATTACTCAGCAATAAAAATAATAAACTTCTCACCTTAAAAAATTAGAAGAGCAACTAAAATATACAAAACAAAGGTTTCCAGGTATTGTTACCAGGTAGCACAAGACAGATCCCTGAGGGAGGGGATGCAACCAAGCTGAGCCAGATCACTGCTCCTATTACTGCCCAGAAGCTCCAGCCCATGGCACAAGAAGTCCAAAGGCAGGCAAAGCCTAGAAGTCCCACAGAGCTAAGGAGGCAGACTAGGTGTTCAGGGAGAACAAGGCAGCCAGGCTGCCAGGGAAGATTACTTGGAGAAAAGAGAGTTGCACAGAGCAAGTTCTGGAGATCTGAGAAGGGATCCTTAGGCTGTGTACTGAAGAAGCCACTAAATCAAGATGAATAAAAACACCAATAGGGCCAGGCATGGTGGTGCACACCTTTAGTCCCAGAACTCGGGAGACAGAGGCAGGCAGATCTCTGTGAGTTCAAAGCCAGCCTGGTCTACATAGTGAGTTCCAGGCCAGCTGGGAAACTCTGTCTCATAAAGACAAAAAAAAAAAAAAACAATAAGCAGAAAGCTTTCCACATGCTCAGCATCAGGGCAGCCCTTGTGATGAAGTATCTCAGGAATGGTCAAAAGAGGCCATGTCTACTTCCTGGATACTGTGCTGAGGTTATACAAGAGGCAACTGTCAGTGGAAAGGGGTGAAGACTGTGTCAGACTTCTTTGTATGTGTTGAAACTTCCTATCCATCTATATTTCAAAATGTAAAACAATTTTAATCATGCAAAGGAGAAAAAACATGTGATGTTCATGGGAAAAAGAATAAATGACTGCAATATACAGCACAGATGAGTATCAGGCACATGCTGAATGAAAGAAGCCAGGCATGAGGCTGGGGAAGGTGGCTCAGTGAGTAAAGTGCTTACTACACAACCATGAGGACTTGAGTTCAAATCCCCAGTGCCCAAACACCGGGTGTGGTGGCATGTGACTGTAATCCCACTGCTAGGGAGGTAGAAACAAAAGGATCCCTGGGGCTTGCTGGCCAGTCAGTCTAGCCTAACTGGCAAGCTCCAGGTTCAGAGAGAGGGAGACCCTGTCTCAAAAAACAAGGAGTGATTGAGGAGGACATCTGACATCGACCTCTGGCCACCACATGCATGTACACACATGTGCACACACATAAAAAAACACACACACAAACCAATCACAAAAATTAGGACATACTGCATGATATCATTTATGTGGGACTCCAAGACAGTTAATCATCTACAGTGACAGAAACTAAGTCACGGCTCCCCTGGGACACTTCAAGGATACAGTGAGAGGCCTTACTGGAAAAGAGCACAAAGGAATTTTAGGGAAGATGATTAAAATTTCTATATCCTGGGCTGGGCGTGGTGGCACATGCCTTTAATCCTAAGCACTCAGGAGGCAGAGGCAGAAGGATCTCTGTGAGTTCGAGGCCAGCCTGGTCTACATAGCGAGTACCAGGCCAATTGGGGTTACAGGAAGATCCTGTCTCAAAAAAGACCAAAAAGAAAAAGAAAAAAGAAAAAAAAATGTATATCTCGATTGTGGTTGGTATTACATAAAGCCCCAGCCCACCAAATTTCATTGAAATATGTGCTCGGATGAGTGGATTTTATTGTATCTAAACTGCTATCTAAACAAAGAAAACCCATGGGCTGTGGAGTCACACCACCTGATTTCAGTCAGTTCTCCCACTTACTAGTTGTGTGAAGTCAAGCAGTCTGCTTAATCCCCTACACCTTGGCTATAAAATGGGGTAAAAAATGGTACCCTTCTTATATTGTCATATAAGGAGAAAAGTAGTTAATAATAATGTCACTTTGAACAGAGCTTTGCTCAAAACAAGCTCTATGTATGAGTTTTTAACACCAAATATGCCAGGTTACTGTTTTCCAAAATTCCCATGTATGCCTGTCACTTTCCTGTGTTTCTACCCTCAGGATAGAACCCAACTTATTTATTTTTTTTTGTTTATTTATTATTTATTTTACATGTATGAGTATTTTGCCTACATGTATGTAAGTGCACCACATGTGTGCAATGCCCACAGAGGCCAAAAGAGGGTGTTGAATCCCCTGGATCTAGAGTTAGGGATGGTTGTAGCTGCCATGTGGGTGCTGGGGACTGAATCCAGGCCCTCTGCAAGAGCAGCCAGCGTTCTTAACCACTGAGCATTCTCTCCAGCTCCCAAACCGTTTTTTTCAGTGGTCTTATCACTTCTTTGGCCCTAGTTCCCCAAGGCTCTGACTCAGAGCAGCGTTCTGTCCCTCCAACAGGTCATTTTTCCCCAAGTCAAGGTCCTCTGGGAAGACTCCTCCCTCTCTTTTTGCCTGGCTAACTTAACTCACCACAAATCCCAAGCCTCCCAAGCAAGCAGTCTGTGAATTCTCTAAGACAAGACAATTAGCTGGGAGAAAGAGCCAATAGCTCTCTGTTATGGCACTAGGCACGGCTGTAATGCATATTTATATCTGTGTGATTATTTCATGCATTCATTTATCAAATATTTATTGAGCATCACTCTGGGCCAGGCATTATACTACACTCTAAGGATACAGCAGTTTGCAAAACTTAAGTTCCTGTTGCTGTGTTGGGGTGAGCCAAGCAGAAAATAAATAGGCAATCAAGGAATTGTTTTGTCAGGGAGTGATGGATGCTATGGAGAAAAAGGAACGTGGGGGAGGAAAGAGCCAGTGGAGGGATGGGCACCCTGGCAAACAGCATGCAGGCGTCTGAGGAAAGGAGGGGACGAATTACAGGACTGTCTAGGGAAAGAAAGTTGGAGCATGA